CTTTCGGAGGCCCCCTTTGGGGCTAGCGATCTGTGGTTCGAGTTTTGACATTATGAGTTCAATGGGGGAAGGTAACAGGAATGAAAGGGGGCGGCCCAAATAAAAAGGGGGGACTACCAGGTATAAAACTTCCTGCAGGGGGTTCAGTGGACAAGGGAAAGGTAGGAAAAACAGTAAACGAGATGATGGAAATTGGCAACAAAAGGGGGGAGGCAGAGGAAAATTTTGTTCCCAAAGGGGAAAAAGAAAAAATAGGAAAACCAACGAGTCCTGGTTTCCCCCAAGGTGTAGGGGGGCAAAAGCTAAGTGAACAGAGAAAGGAAAAGGTACAGGAGGGATAGGACCCAGGAAAAAAAAAGGAAATTTTAGAAGAGCCAGAAAGAGTATCGCAGATAAGGAGGGGGGCCCCGGACAGTATGAAAACGACATAGCTCGAAACAAAATTTACCCAAACGCTGTAAGCCACATTGGAAGAAGACAACAGTCAAGGCCCGGTGATAAATGAGGGAAAAAAGGTGGGGAACTCACAAGAAAACGACAAGGTAGTAGGAGCTTTTAACCGGATTTTTGGAATTTTACAGTAAGACAGGAGGACTCTGGGGGGACAACCAATGGGGGCACCAACAAGGAAAACACCAACAAGTGTTTTTGGCGACATACATACAAAAAGGGGGAGGTAAGAAAATGCTAAGGGGGCATCGATACCTCAAAGGCAAAGGGCCGGACAAAATCTCTCCAGGGGGCCTTAAGAGGAGCAGATTGTTGTGTGTACCACTTACCACAACTTCAACACATCCCTGGGGAATGGGGAAAATAACCCGAGGTAGGAAGACGCAAAAGTAGTTTCCATTTTCAAAAAAGGGACAAAAAGGCAAAAAACTAAGACCGTGTATTGACGTTATAGTATGCAAAAATTAGGGGAAGATTTCAGGAGGGAAATGGTGGGGACCCGGAAGGGGCAGGGTATAAATGCAACCGCACGGATTCACGGGAAAGGGAAATCCTGTTCACAAACCTTCGGAGTTTTATGAAAAAAAAACAAAGAAGACAAGAGAGAGGGGGTGGGTTATTGCATCTTTTTGGACTGCAAAGGCCTTTGACACAGTTTCCCCACAAAGATTATGCAGAACTAGAGCATCAGCGCATATAAAAAGAAGGGGACTAATGGATCAGAGAAAACCCGACAGGGAGGCAACAACGGGTCATGGACGTATGAGACACAGGGGGACCCGTACGAGGGGTCCCCCCCAGGGGTGGTCCTAGCCAGTGTATTTTTGGTATATGGAACGACATGACGGAAGGGTTTGACCAGAAATGTCCCCGTTTTTAGATGATGTGAAGTTAATGAGGGGAATTAAACGTGGGACCAGGAGGCTTAAAAGACCTGGGAAATTTTGGACACCTGGTCCACAAATGGCTTCTCGAATTTAATCCTGCCAAAAGCAAAAAACATGAAAATAGGGGGAAGACACAGAAACCAAGACAGATATAGGTAGGTGGCCAAAACTGCAAACCCCACTCAAGGGGAAAGATCTTGGGTGAGTATAACCCGAGCAGTCTCCGGGAAACCACATCAATCAGAAACTGCTGCAGCAAAATGGGCCCGGCAACCTGAGAAAAGCATTCCCACACCTGTAAGGAATCATTTAAGACACGTCACCGGTTTTTCAGGCCCATACTGGATATGCAGCACGTTTTTGGGAACCCGCACTTTATAAAAACGTAAGAAACTAGAGAAATACAAAGGTTTTTCAACAGGGTTTTTCCGAGCTAAGGGGGTGTCCCATGAAAAGATTTAAGGGGAAACGGTGACGACACGGGGGACAGGGGGGTCAGGGGGGACATGATAACGACTATAAAAAACTGCGTGGAATAGACAAGGTGGGCAAGGACGATGTTCCAGGGAGGGACACAGAAACAAAGGCCCCCAATTGGAAGTTGAAGACACAAAAGAGTCAAGAGAAGTAAGGGAAATATTTTTTCAGTCTAGGTTGTAAGGCGTGGAATGCCTAGAAAATGACGTGTGGAGGGAGGGAACCCTACACATTTTAAGACGGGGTTTAAAAGCTCATGGAGCGGGGGGAGAAGGGTCTAGTACAACCGTGAAGAGGGGGGGCCCGGAGTAAAGGGCCGACCCCTGCAACCCCAAATAGGTGAGTACAAATAGGTGAGTACACACACACACACACCACATAGGATCATGAAAGGCGGGGGCCCGGACTGAGTCTCGCCCTGCAAACAATTTGAGTACACACACATAACACACCCATAACACAACACACAAACCCAAACACACACCACAAACACCCCACCACAACACACACACACTACACACACACATACACACACACACACACACACACACAACAAACTACACACACCACACACACACACACCACACAACAGGAGTCAGGAAAAATAAACTATACACGATATTTTTCCCTTTTTGGGCTTTAAAAAGACTAAAAATGGTCAGCAGAACATGAAGTTTAAGGACTACCTTCATTTCCCATTTAATTCGAATTGGTTAGAAATTAAAAATGATTTAATTTGCCCAAAAAAGTCTGAAAATGTTTCATTTTGGGGCAAAAGGGAAAAAATTATCCTCAAAAATTCACCACATTTTGAGAGGACAAGGAGGGGCCACAACTAGTTCGTTCTTCTGCATTCATGACACCAAATTTTAAACTTAAAGAAAAAAAATTGTTTACTAAAAAAAATCGAAAATATTATATAAAAAAAAGGCCGGACTGGAGTGGATTTCGAGGACTACGCAGGCCTGCCGTAAAAAATACTATTAAAAAGAATACAGTGATTTTAACAGTTTTTAAAAACTTGATGATTTTGTTTTTTACTGGCTTAGTAGATTCACTTCAGGGGGACATTTTGAAAAAAAAAAAAAAAAAAGGGGTTTTGTTTTTTGACCTTGACTCTGATAAAGAATTAACGTTAAAACTGACAAAATTTTATTTATCATGTTAAAAAATCCTTTTGTAGCACCCTATTGCCAGTAAGAACGTTACTTCTTCCCTAACTTCTCCAAAGGTTTTGTTCTTCACAAAACACCTTATTGGATTGGGTTCAACATTTTTTTCCCTAGTGAACTATAACCACGGGGAAAAAAAGTCCACGGAACATCTGAATTAAGGGGCTTTTTTCAGTTTTTTTAAAAGGCTATTCCCATTTCGGGTTTCCCCGGATTTCCCCAAAAAGCCTCGCTGGTAGGTTTCAAAATTTTTAAAAAAATCATTTTGTATACTTGAAAAATATTGACATTTTATGGAGTGTGTCGCACTATTTTACCATTTAAATTTTTTAATGAACAAAAATATTTTTCCCTTTAAAAAAACGGGTATGTTCTCGAAAACTTTTGCATTAATGGTTTTTTTGCCAAGAAAAGTCTTTAATGAAACATTTGGGAGCTTTTTATTAGCTGGACATGTATAGTAAAAGGGAGTGGATGGATGCATTGGACCGCCAAAAAGGAGTAGTAGGCCTATTCCAGTTCCACTGTTACGTTTTTATTGATCAGAATTATTTAAAAAAATGTTGTTTTTTAAAGAAAAAATAACACACTTTAAATTTTTACAAAATCTTAGCTAAAAAATTATAAATTTAATGTAAATTGTTATAATGCGTAGATAAAAACACTAAGCCGTTTTAAGGCTTGAGGGAAAAGTTTCGCCCCCAGGGGTTTCAACTTGCATAAGGGGATTATCCACATATTTTCTGCACTACCTTTTGAACATGACATATCAACAAAAAGCCCGGAAGAACCAAATTTTGGCGCCTTAAGGGCTCCTCCCTCACCCCCCAATAGTTCACCCTTTAGGGGGCCGGCCTGTCCACCACCTGCTGCAGATGGTTCAGGTAAATACACACTCTAAAGGCTATTGTTGTCTTTGATGATTCTTGACGAGACAAACTTGAGTAGGTTCAGTCAGATTATGAGAAAAAATTCTCAACTGCCCTAGAACTGCCGAAATTTGTATCATAAGATTAAATCTTAACCTATTGTTCATTTATGACAGAATAAGACAGGTAAATACCGGTTTTGGCGCCAAACTGGTAAGGGACAAAGTAAAGTGTTAGGAAAGAGAAGCTTATGACGACGTTTCGGTCCGACTTTGATGTACAAGTCACTGTGACTTGTAAATGGTCCAAGTCGTAGCGTAACGTCGTTATCAGCTTCTCTCTCTTCTATGTGCGGGTTAATTTTGTATTGTTCCAGTCACAATATTGTGCCCTTTTGCTCTTTTAGCAGTATTACTGATAGGCCGATTACACTTACACCTATTTCTAAAGATCAGAGGAAAGGTTGGATAATTTTAAGAATTAGACACTTTTACAACATTTGAAGCTCTTTATGGAAAACATTTCGTCCCTTCGTCTCTGTACCGGACTGAAGAGTCACTTGTTGGCGAAACGTTTCCACAAAAAGATTCCTAAATGTTACAAAAAGTGTCTAATTCTTCAACTTGTCGGTCTTCTAACTATTTACACTATAACTGTCTAAGTCTTCAATTATTAAGACCTGTGTAATGAACTCTATCGCATGAAAAAAAAATAGGGAGATACAGGTAAAGCTGATTAAGCCCAATATGAGACACAGACACGTCGTCGAATGCAGGGCACCGACACACTGAATGCGAGGAAGATCTCCACAGAGGTTAAACGATGGCTCGCTAGATCTATGAGTGGTGTTGCTGGATCAGTGCTAACTCTAGATTTAAACCAGAAGATTGTCATGCATCTTGGACTTGCCTTTGCTTCAGTCAGTAGGCCAGTTGCAGTGCTCATTCTTTATTCTTATGTTCTTAAAAAAAGCGTAAGTGTTCTCGGCTGGGTATATTCAACCCAGACTGAATTAATTGCATTTCAATTAATCGTAGAGGTTGTTTAGAAAAAGATCGACTCAGTTGTATTTTAGGGGTCAACCTTTTTTTTTAGTCAAACCTTCAGCAGTATGATTAGCAGTAGCGTAGAAGACAAGTGAAACATGTTAGAAAATTACAAAATTTCAGTAAAGTTTGTGTGGCTACCATCTAATGTTAACATCGCAGGCAGTGAGAGAGCTGATGAACTGACACAGGTAGAAGCACAGCAAGAACACACAGACTTCAGGTTTGAAGAAACAATGCAGCAGATTACAAGGAAAACACAAGTCAAAAGAGTAGAAGATGAGTTCATTAAGAGAGGTACGTTAGTAAACAGTGAGTACAGAGCACTGCAATAAGGAATAATAAATAAACGCATGTTTATGGTAGGAAAGGTGGAAATAGAAGCGTGGAGACAGGTGGCCAGAATTCGTTTAGATTACCTGTATATATGTGGCAGGTTGAAGTGGCAATTCCAAGTGGGGAAAGACAATGTAAAGTGTGTGGAAAAGAAGATAAACACACTGTAACTTAAGAGTAAATCATATTACAAGACAGCAGAATTAATACAACAGACATATTAGTATGGTTTAGCACGTTGTAACCAAAGTTGGTAACAACTTCCAAAGATACGCAGGATTTCCTGTAACTTGATAATGATAATTTGTAGAAATAATGATACATGTACATAAGGATATTTTAACTGTAAAGGTAGTGATACCAGTATATTACAACAGCCAGTGATGTAGTTAACACATGTGATATGTCATCAAATGTTTTGTTTGTAAAGCTTTATATTGATACGCAGAATGATCAGGATGTATACACCGGGAAGTGTATATACACTGAAAGTTCAGTTTAATCCCTGTTTAAGGGGGTCTCGACAGGTGGTGAAGAGGTGACACGCAACTTTAATGGTGCTCGTGTAGTCGATAGGTTTAAGTTTAGTAAAGGAAACCATGCACAAGGTGTGCGCTCCTGCCTAGTAAACTGATCCTTGAGACATTCTTAGAAATCGAAATCGAAGATCTTGGTATTATTTTAATTTATTCAACAAGCACAGGTATTGCACTGCAAAAAAACTGTTTTCAATAACATTTATTTAATCAGGCGTCGTTCTAGAAAGGGCAGGGTTGCTCCATTTCTTTGGATCATGAGCCCTTGGCCAGCATGAATACACACCTCCTGCAATAGGTCGTTTGGTGCAGCAGCTGACCGCTCAGCCAAACTCTCCATATTAATCCACAATCTCGTCTTCTTTCCTGCCAGCGCCGCCACCGGCGAACAACGAATTTAACTTCTGTGGCTGCGGGTGGCCAGAGCACCTGTTGCTGCCCAGGGGCAAGCCAGAGGGCATGACCTACCAGCTCTTCGTCATGCTCACAGACTATGAGAAGGACAAGGTAATTCTACTGCAGGAAAAATACGAGGGTTTGTTCATTTAAAGAGGGTGGGAAACCAGGGTCATTGTCCCAGTGGTTGACTACTGATACCCATCACTGGTACACATGTGGTTGACTACTGATACGTTCACTGTGTTGGTTCAAACGCAACACTTTAATGCAAAATAGGTTACTTATATACAGCAAAAGTTCTTTATATACAATAATTTTTTTTCTTAAAAAAAGCTCGTAAATTAATCGTCGTCATGCATAAAGTTTTCACACAATATTAAAGTGCCTCATTTTTTCCCCTCAACTTTTCGGTATCTACAAACAGTTCCACATGTTTCAGTTTGTGCAGTATTCAGTTAGGAGATAATCTTAAAATTCCTGTTGGTCCTTCTTATCTTTCATTTTATCGTCACACATGGAAGAGATCACAATAATCGCGTGATTGTCAATATATACAAATACCACAGTGAAAATAGGAAAAACATCAGAGCGCTTTGCTTACGCACATATTCCCTCTGAAGACGTGTGTAAGCACATGAAAGCGCTCAGATTTTTTTTCTATTTTCACTGTGGTATTTTTATATCGTCACACATTTTAACATGTAGATGACATAAAGGTCTCTTGTGGAAGACACATCAACAATAAGACCTAAGCCTCTTCTTAAAGCTAAATATTTATTTACTAAAACAACCATGCAAGGCTTCCTTAAGCCTCAATAACTCCTGCCCAATATCCAGCATATTTTACAAGAGAAAGGCAGGAGCATATCTTCAACTGAGATGCTCTTAATCCTCTTATTTCTTGCAAATGGTGACCTGCTCTTCTTGACAGGTGGAGGAGCCGAAAGGACCCAGGAAATGTGCCAATGCCGTGTCCTTCTGTGGGATCCTGGACGCTAAGTACCCTGACAAGAGACCCATGGGCTTCCCCTTCGACCGTCGCCCACCTCCCATCCTCAATAATGAAATGGTTACCTCCGTTGCTGATTACGCTAGCCTGGGCAACATATCTCTGACTGACATTACTATCACGTTCCTCAACAACCAGCTCAAGAAGTAGATATCTGTCGTGTTTGTCACTTTCCTCAAGTTCTAGAAATACATAGTTGAGGTGTCTGTCACTTTCGTAGTATATTTCAAACGTAGATAGTAAGGATGCCTCTCATTTTCATCAAGTTTGAGAAGTAGATGGTGAAGGTATCTGTCGTTATTCGTTGTATTGCAACCGTTGGTGATAGGGGTACCTGTCGCTTTCATCAAGGTCCAGAAGTAGATAGTGGAGGTATCTCATCATCAGTACAAAATGATATATATAACACGGTATCTCAAGACCTTTATTAACGACTGACTTCCTTCCTTAAAATATTTGAATCTAGGCTTTTATAACTGCCTCTGTTTTGAATCTCTCATTCCTTCCTTTACCTCCATCTCTACCTTCCCTCTATCCATTCCTCCATCTGCTTTCTCCCTCCTTCTCTGTCTACCTCGTCCATCCACTCCTGTAGCCTCCTGTGGACTGAGTGTGGTGACGGAGAATATAATAATACTTCTAAGTGTAATGATGATGGAATGTTGTTGAGTGTAGTGGAGTGAATTTAGCGAAGATGAAATGAATATGGAGTAATAAATATAACAGTGGAATGTGGCAGTAAGTGTTAAGATAAATGGATGTCCTGGAAGATTGAGTAGTGATAATATTGGAGGCACAATGGTGGTATAATGGCTAATGTACGTGACCAAATTAAAATGTATTTTTTTTTTTCACAGTACTGTATGAAATTAATAATTTTATCTAAATTAAATACACAATCAATTCTTTATATAGGGAAATAATACTGACTGGGAAGATGAGTATAATATTGAATGTGCTATTCGAATTTTTAATGTTTGCTTTATAAAATAAATATTTGTTATATTATATTCAGTATACTCATTTCAACAGTACTTCCTTATTTATCAGTTATCTGTGTCATTTCTGTCAGTTTTTCTTAGCGTTGGAACACCCAAGTTTGTGACTAAGGTTTGTATACCAAATGGAAAGATCGTTGTAGCGTAGTCACTCAAGACTCCGTGTTTGTGTTCTTGAATTAATTATTATACTTTTGATTGTTACCAATTAAGGGTATGGGATGTGGAAGGGTGGGGTGAGAGGAGTGAGGGGTGTGGAGGGGCGGGGTGAGAGGAGTGAGGGGTGTGGAGAGGCGGGGTGAGAGCAGAGAGGGATTTTGAGGGGCGGGGTGAGAGCAGAGAGGATGTGGAGGGGCGGGGTGAGAGCAGAGAGGGGTGTGGGGGGGCGGGGTGAGAGCAGAGAGGGATGTGGAAGGGTGGGGTGAGAGGAGTGAGGGGTGTGGAGGGGCGGGGTGAGAGGAGTGAGGGGGAGAGAGCTGTGAGGGGGTGTAGAGGGGCGGAGTGAGAGGAGTGAGGGTGTGTGAGGGCGGGTGAGAGGAGTGAGGGGTGTGGAGGGGCGGGTTGAGAGCAGAGAGGGATGTGAGGGCGGGGTGAGAGCAGAGAGGGATGTGGAGGGCGGGTGAGAGCAGAGAGGGGTGTGGAGGGGCGGGGTGAGAGCAGAGAGGGATGTGGGGGGGGGGTGAGAGCAGAGAGGGGTGTGGAGGGCGGGGTGAGAGCAGAGAGGGGTGTGGAGGGGGCGGGGTGAGAGCTGTGAGGGGGTGTAGAGGGCGGAGTGAGAGGAGTGTGAGGGGTGTGGAGGGGCGGGGTGAGAGCAGAGAGGGGTGTGGAGGGGCGGGGTGAGAGGAGTGAGGGGGGGTGAGAGCGTGAGGGGGTGTAGAGGGGCGGAGTGACAGGAGTGAGGGGTGTGGAAGGGCGGGGTGAGAGGAGTGAGGGGGGTGAGAGCTGAGGGGTGTAGAGGGGCGGAGTGAGAGGAGTGAGGGTGTGGAGGGGCGGGGTGAGAGCAGAGAGGGGTGTGGAGGGCGGGGGGAGGGAGTGAGGGGTGGTGGAGGGGCGGGGGTGAGAGGAATGAGGGGTGTGGAGGGCGGGGTGAGAGGGTGAGGGGTGTGGAGGGTGGGGTGAGAGCAGAGGGGTGTGGAGGGGCGGGTTGAGAGAGTGAGGGTTGTGGAAGGTGCGGGGTGGGAGGAGTGGGAGGTGTGACGGGTGGGATGAGAGCTGTGAAGGGATGTGGAGGGGCGGGTGAGAAGCTGTGAGGGGATGTGGAGTGAGAGGTGTGGAGGGGCGGGGTGAGAGCTATGATGGGGTGTATAGGGGCGGGTGAGAGCTGTGAGGGGTGTGGAGGGGCGGGGTGAGAGCTGTGAGGGGGTGTGGAGGGCGGGGTGAGAGCTGTGAGGGGGTGTGGAGGGGCGAGGGTGAGAGGAGTGGGGGTGAGAGCTGTGACGGGGGTGTGTAAGACCGGGTGAGAGCTGTGAAGGGTGTGTAGGGGCTGGAGTGAGAGGAGTGAGGGGAGGGTGAGAGCTGTGAGGGGGTGTAGAGGGGCGGAGTGAGAGGAGTGAGGGATGTGTAGGGGCGGGGGAAAAGGAGTGAGGGCGGGGTGGAGAGGAGTGAGGGTGGGGTGAGAAGCTGTGATGGGTTGGGAGGGGCGGGGGTGAGAGCTGTGAGGTGGTGTAGAGGGGCAGGGTGAGAGCAGTGAGGACGGTGTATGGGCAGTGGTGGCCGTGTGTGAGGCAGCAGCAGCAGGTGGGGAGGTACACACTACACACACCATACTACTACCTTCAGTGTGTTACACGCACAAGCAACCTCCACACTTGTGTACCTCACTCACCCCTACCATGAAAAAACAAATATATCTCACAGTTTTCTGCCCTTTGAGGGGAAAAAATAACTGACAAACAACTCGTTCAGATAAATATGTTGACATGTGATAGATATGGGCGGGAGAGAAAAAAAAAACACGTTTATACACTCTTAAGTTCATTTTGTAAGCATTATGGAAAACATGAGGAAGCAGATACACATTTTGGATACCAAGTGATTGAAAAAGCTCAAACCTTTAAAGCAAGTGAGACACTGATGCTCTATAGACATTTATCTGTAGCATATTTGTGTTCAGGGACGATAAATAGAATGATAGTAAAATAAATCATTAGCAAGCGAGAATAAACAGTGTTAAGTGATAAAAAAAGGAATATAGGTAAGTAACACTAGCGTTAACGAGTGACTTGTCAACAAGTGGGTGTACCTGATGACCTGGTATTGTTGAGTCCGGGGGGGGCATCGCCCCCGATGATTTATCAGCCTACACGGCCCGAATGACAGCGATACATGGGGGGAAGGGAGACATTTGTTTACATTTCTTTCCCTCTGGACGAACTGAACAATGAACATTCAGTGAGGTGACGGCGGAGCGTCAGGTGGTGATGTGTTGATGAAGTGGTGAAGGTAATGGTGCCCTGGTGACTAAGGGCACCAGCACTGACGTACCCACACACATCGAGGCGCATGTGTCTTCCAGTGTATATACACTTGAGATTTTTACCTTCATTCCATTCTGAGGATAAAAATATGCAGCGATTATAGTTTAGGCAGCCCTCATAGTTCACGTGCATCGCTAAGCTATAAATCTAACAAACTACTGTAATTAACTTCATATATTGGCCACGCCAGTGGTGTACGCACAGGGAGGGCCGCACCATATACTTGGTCACATCAGTAGTGCACACACAAAACGTGCCGCACCGAAATCTAGCACCGAGCCCTGACAAACACTCATCCACTCCACACTATTACTACCTACACACGGACTGCTGATGGGCCCCACACCATCACCCACTTACGAGCCATCATCAATACCCAGCCAGGCCCCAGAAAACCCAATAAATGAACAAGCAAGGTGCCCCCAGCAAGGAGGTTTGAAGTGTGGATTCAGAGTCAATGGGCGTGTGGATACTTGTGTGTGTGTGGTAGAAAACGCTTGGGCAGGATGAGGGCGTGTGGGTGTGAGGCCAATCTACCACCTACCCACGTCGTCACCTACAACTACGTGTCAGCCAAACTACATCCCAGTAAGATGATCAGGTCAGGACCTTATATGATTTGATGTTAATTTACTAAACTGGAGGGGTTGGGTATACTCAAAACCCCAAACTTGTTTCCCATCTTTTAAATTATCTAGTGACTCGCTAAAACAATAATTTCAAAGGCGTGTCAACCCTTTATAAGTCCTAAAGTAGAACTGAAGAAAACATCTGAAGCAGGTGAACTCTTAGCATACATGTACTGAGATATATATCTCGAGTCGTACATATCCTGTGATAGTCATGAACACTGTATGCAATTCTGATTTAATTAATGAGGTAAATAGCTCTTAAAAAATGCGTAAACTAATGAATGTAATAAATTAATTGTGTCTAGTTAATGGCCAAAGTCGGACCTAAACGTCGTCTTAAGTTTCAATCTCCTATGTGCGGGTTATTTGTGTAATCTAATATGACTCACGAAATCGTAATGACACGATTCCCAAACAAACCATATAAACCAAACATCAGGGGTTTCTAATCCCGCCCGTGGTATGGTTTAAGCTAATATATTCTTCGTTTGGGATGATGGTTCAGTTTTTAAAATGGTCTACTGGGTATAGACAAACATAGCAAATTATGAACCAATATTTTTTAAACAAACCATGCTTATCTCCGAGTCTACATGATATTGCCCTGTGTATGGCGGGTTCAGTGTTTCCTGTGCATCCCACTGCAAAACTGGCGCCACCATCGCCTCTATCTCGAGTTCGGCTGTCTCAGCACTCCAGGTTGATCCCCACTTGCATTTCTTTGCTAATGATTTTCACACGTCTTATTTCCTGGGTGGCAAGCTTGGGCTTGGTTGTAGACTTGGTCCAGGTCATTGCTGATGGTGGTGCCACTTCGTTGGAGAAGACCCGGGCTAGTACCCGTCCTGGCAAACCTACCTGAACCTGGTACTTCGTTCGAAATTCCACCACATCGAAGTGTCTGTATAATATGGTTACTGTCAGGTCTCGTGAAGTGGTTTAAGCATCCGCTGACCTACCACATCAACACCCCATACAAAAAAGAGGATCATTACTTAGTAGTTGGATCCAACTTGAGTACTGGCGACAATAGTGAAGAAAGACGCGTTGCAAAAAAAAACTTGTAATAAAGTTGGTAGAATTACCGACAATATGTAAAGTAAAAGGACACAAGTGCAACTAATGTGACATTTATTGTGGCAACGTTTCGCTCTCCGGAGTTTATCAAGCATTACAAACAATACATGGCACAGGGGGTATTAAAGGCTCGAGGGGGTAAATATAGTGAGGTCCCCATTTCGTGTTCACTAGTGGAGTAGTAGTAGTAGAGTTGTAGTGTAGTAGTGGTAGTGCCCAAAAGAAATAAAATTTGGTAGAGAAATTTTTTCGACATGAGTAAAAGGAAAAAAAGCTATTACTTGGGTAAAAAAAAAATGGTTGGACAAAATAAAAACTGGAATGAGGCGTTTTTTCAGTGTTCACTCTCTGTCTTTGTGTATATACGGGAGGACTATGTGAGGGCCGGGTTTATGTTTTCGGGGGGATTTTGCAAAGACTTCGGAGATGGGAAGCTGCCGTTTTTTTTTTAAAATTGTATTCGAAAAAGCGATCATGTGATTCAAGGCATTTGCGGTCGGAAATTTTTTCTTTTATCATAATTGGGGTCTTAAAATTTCAAAGATGATTTGAATTTTCGGTGTTGTACACAGGCTTTGTTTAAGTTGTCTTTCCCTGCATGCGTATATGTGTTCATTGGCGGGTGTCGGGTTTCTTGCTGTTTCCCCTACGTAGTCTTGTCACAGCCTCCCAGGGTATAGTGTAAACTCCGCATTGACTGGTTCGGGGTGTTTGGGGTTTTTTCCTGGTTAGATCCTTTATTGAATGGTAGAAGCGAGGCGACTTGGGTGTTGTTGTAAAAGTCTTTTGAGACGTTTAGTGAAACCTGGCTGTTGGGAAAAATTATAATTTTGTTGGGAGCGGTGTTGAGCGGGAAAATTTTGTATCTGAAGGCTCTTTTCTTGCAGTTTGATGAAAAAAAAGGGAAATTGAACTCAGTAAATGTTTGGTAAATGAAAGTACATTCCTCGCAAGAACTCAGGACTACAAATTGGTATGTCTTGGAAAAACCCGATGATGATGCCTTTTTTGGTTTGGTATCTTGACTGGAATAAAAGTGTGTGAGTTTCATTTTTATTGGGGGGTTTTCCGATAAATTGAAATCTTGGTTTGTTGTCTACTTTGGAATGAGGACGTCGAGGAAAGGTACTTGTCTTTGGACTCTTCTTCTAGTGTAAATGATCGCTGGTTCAACTGCGTTGAGCCTTCCCTGAAGACCCGTACATCAAAACTTTTTTGGAGTTATTACGAGGACATCGTCCCGAAAACGAAACCCCAAGTGACGCTTGGGGATGATTTTGGCGAAGTTTTTCGGATTGGGTGTTCCATGTATAAGTTGGCGGACGGACTTAGGGGGCCCCCATTCCCATGCCGTAGGTTTTTTTGTGAGCTTTTTTATTAAAGGAAAAAAAAACGTTGAAGTTAACCAGAGTTCAATCAAGTCAAAAAAATTTCCCCGGGAGGAAAAGGGAAAGTTTAAAGGCCCTGTTGACTTTACGCTTTAGAACCTCGATGTTTTTTTTGGTGGGTATTTTGTTGGGGTTAGCTGTGGTGACTGTGCTGAAATATGCTCAGCAGTGTGTTGGTAAATCTAAAGACGGGCCCCTCATTTCCTTGCAGTTTCAAAAGGGTTTAACAGGGGCCCTTTTCACTGCAGCTTTATGTGAATTCTTTTCTAATCTTCCCCAGAAGATACATCCCCTGCCCTTTAAAGGGCCCGCAACGACCCCAACATATCGTCCCACCGCCCACAAAGGGGTGGAGTGTCATCTCAAACCAGTGACTACAACACTAAAATGATGGACCTTTTTAATGATCAATCTACATACGAACCCCCCAGCACTCAACATGGGAGAGCTCCCAAAACTTTTATACAAAACCAGAAAATACTAAAGCACTAGAGAAGGGAAGAAACTTCTGTACTTTTTACCCAAACAAAACCCCAAAACCCCACATTATGGTTTACCCAAGACCCATAAACACAAAATTCCTCTCAGACCAATCAGTCAGGAAAAAAGGCAGTGCCCCCACAAACTAGCCGGAGTTCTTGCCAAACCTTTCCTGCCTTCTGGGGACCCTCAGCCCCGTCATCTTAAAAAACTCAGGCGACCTTCTCAACCCATCCGTAACCTCCCATCCCTAACAAGAAACTAAGGTTTGGATTGACTTCCCTCTTCACAAAGTACCCCACCAAAAAAGCCATCAGGTTCTACGACGTAAAGTCAACCCGGACCCTTAAACTTCCTTTACCTCCCGGAGTTTTTTTTGACTTGATTGAACTCTGGTTTTCTTCAACTGTTTTTTTTTCAATACAAATCTACAAACAAAACCCACGGGATGGGAAGGGGGTCCCCAATAAATGCCCCCCTCCTAGCCAACTTATACATGGGAAAACCTAGTCCGCACTTCGCCAACTTTATCCCTTTAAGCGTCATGGTTTTCGTTACGTGGCGATGCCTCGTAAAAACTCCCCAAAACGTTTTTGATTTTAGGGATCTTAGGGAAGGCCCAAAGCAGTTGAACCAGCGATCCGTTTTCCTAGAAAAAGAGTCCAATGCAAGCTACCTTTCCCCGAGTCCCCCATTCACAAGTAGACAACAACCCCAAGTTTAAGTTTTTTCGGAAACCCCCCAAAAAAAATGATCTCACACACTTCATTCCATCAAATACCAAGACCCAAAAAAGGCCATCATCGGTTTTTTCCCCAAGAGCCGAATTTGTAGTCCTGAGTTTTTTACGGGAATGTACTTAATTCACCAAAAAAATTTACGAGTTTCAAATTTCCCCTTTTTTTCATCAAAAACGCAAGAAAGAGCTCTTCAGATCATCAATTCTCCACGCTCAACACCGCTCCCAAAAAAGTTTTAATTCTTCCCCAAAACAGGTTGCACTAAAAGTCTCAAAAGTACTTTCACAAGTAACACCAGAGCGCCATCGCTTTTTACCACTTCAATAAAGGTCTAACCAGGACAAAACCCAAGCACCACGAACCAGTCAAGAGGAGTTTACACTTACCTGTGGAGGCTGGACAAAATTCGTAGGTGAAACACAAGAAAAACCCCGACACCCGCCTCAATGAACACATTAAACCCTGAGGAACGACAAATTAAACAAGCCTGTGTACAAAAACCCAAATTCACCAATCATCTTATGAAAAATTTAAGACGCCCAATTTTGTGATAAAAGAAAATAATTTCCGCCACCCAAGTGCCTTTTAATCAGCCTGATCGCTGTTTCGAATACAATTAAAAAAAACAACGGCAGTTTACCACTCCCAAGCTTAGCAAGAATCCCCCTGAAAAAAAGTAAACCCTGCCCTCACATAGCTCTCCGTTTATACTACAAAAGCACAGGAGGAACACTGAAAAAAAGCTGCCTCTTCCCGTTTATATATTTTGTCCCAAATATTTTTTTGTTACCCAAGTAAAGCTTTTATACCTTTTCTCTGTAGAATTAATTGCTCACCATATTGTTTACTTTTGCACTACCACTACTCTAATATACTACTACTACTACCACTAGTGAAATCGAAAAGGTACCCCACTAGTAAAATTTACCCCACTCTGAGCCTTTATATACCCTCTGTGTCCATTATTGTTTTTAATGGCTTGAAAGTCCTGGAGAGCGAAACGTTGCCCCAATAAAAATCACATTTGTTCATTGGTCCTTTTTCTTTACAAAAAAAACTTATACGTGTGTTTTTGGACAAAGCTTCGTTTTTACTGAGCTTTATCAAATCATTTTTTATGAAACTACCAGCGAAACTAACTGATGAAAATCTGTGCTGCAACTTGTCTATTTTTCATATTGGGAGTTTTCCCGGTATGGTGACACCCACCAACTTGGATAAACACTCGTGTACATTCAGGGATTTCTTAAATGAACCTTTACTTGTGGCGAAACGTTTCCTACA